TTTTAAGCTATGTAATGAATTTCTACAAGTCTCAAAGAAAATGGGCAAAGTTATCAACAAGCATTTTGCAACAAGGAAAATACAAATGGCCTGTAAGCATTTAAAAAGATTCTCAATTTCATTAATATTAAGAGATGTGGAATTTAAAAAACATTAATAAGATATAACTTCACACATACTTTATTGTGAAATTCACTTTATTTATTATCTTCTTATTGTGAATTTCTTTTTTTTAAGAGAGAAACAGAATTTTTTAATATTTATTTTTTAGTTTTTGGCAGACACATCTTTGTTTGTGTGTGGTGCTGAGGATCGAACCCCGGCTGCACGCATGCCAGGCGAGCGCGCTACCACGTGAGCCACATCCCCAGCCCTTATTATGAATTTCACATGTCTTGACTAGTCAAATGTTTCCAAGTATGTGAGCAAATGGATCAGGGGGGATCTATTGGTAGGAATATAAGTGGGGGACAAAATAGAAAATAGTCATCACCTCACAAATACAAGAAGATTCACAGCAGCATTTTTATAAAAGCAAAATTTTAAAAAATGCACCCAGCTCACATGTCCTTCCACAGTGGAATAGATCAATTGTGATTTATTCAGTCTGTGGAAAGCACCAGCCTAGTGAAAATGAATGAACTGCAGTTGCGTGCATTGACATGAGTGAGTCTCAAATACCGTACTGAGCAAAGGAAGCAAGCACCGAAGAATAAGTGCAGAAATATTCCATCAATATAAAGCTCAAGCACAGGGCACACTAAATAATATAGTGTTAGTGGATTTGACACAAGGGATAAACCTATAAGGAAAAGCAAAGGGATGAAACACACTATTAGGGACTGTGTGGGAAGGAGGTCTAGGGTGAGGAAAACAGGCTTCTGTGGCACTAGTAACATCCTATTTAATAAACTTGGTAGGGGGCACATAGGTGTGTGTTTATTACTCTTTAAACTGTACAAATATATTTTATATATTTTATCTGTCTATTTTAAAATTAAAATGTATCAAATAAATGAATTAGATCACCCTTGGAGGCTCTTCTGATTTTGAAATTTTCATAAAATCTAATCTCATCTGAAAAGTTGAAAATCAGCAGAACTATATGGCAGAATGCTAGACTTTCAGATCTGAACGTGCCCTCTGTTACTACCTCCCGCCCTCATTCTACAAATGAGCTCCAGAAAGTGAAATCAATTTCTCAAGTCACATGCACCTGAGTTGCAGAACAGGACTAGGGACAAAGGTCCAGTAAGCCCTGAAACCCCATGCTTTCCTCTCACGTGTGGCTAGGGCTGAGTAGCAATCTTCCTATTTACAGTGAGCATTCATTCTGGATATTCCCAGTTCTTTTTTTTCCAATTGGTTATTTTTAGTTGTATGTAACAATAGGATCCATTTTGACATAATTGTAAAAGCATGGAATATAATTTGTTCTAATTCAGTCCACAGTACTTCCCCTTCCCCTCCCCTCTCCCTCCCCATGTTCCCTTTCCTCCACTCTACTGATCTTTCTGCTATACACTTATAGGGTTTTTTTAATTATTGTCTTATGGATGCACTCGATGATGAGATTCAATGTGGTGTATTCATATATGTACATAGAAAAACAAGCTCGGGTCATTCCACTGTCTTTCCCTATCCCACCCCTCCTCCCTACATTTCCTCCTCCTCTGTCTACTCCACTGATCTTTCTTCTATTCTTTTCTTTACCCACCCACTCCCCATTATTTTGGATTAGCTTCTGCATATCAGAGAACATATTCCACCTTGGACTCCCTTATTTCACTTAGTATGATAGTCTCCAGTTGCATCCATTTACTGACTCATGCCATAAAGTCATTCCACTTTATGGCTGAGTAATGCTCCATTGTGTGTAGACATACCACATTTTCTTTATTCATTCATCTGTTGAAGGACACCTAGGTTGGCTCCATAGCTTGGCTATTGGTAATTGTGCTGCTATAAACATTGATACGGCTATGACACTATAGTGTGTAGATTTTAAATATTTTGGGTATATACCTAGGAGTGGGATAGCTGGGTCATATATTGGTACCAGTTCTAGTTTTTTGAGGAATCTCTACACTGCTTTCCAGAGTGGTTACACTAATTTTCAGTCCCACCAACAATGTATGAGTGTACCCTTTCCCCGACATTGTATTTCAGATAATTGCCATTCTGACTGTAGTGAGATGAAATCTCAATGTAGTTTTAATTTGCATTTCTCTAATTGCTAGAGGTGTTGAACTTTTTTTTCATATATTTGTTGACCATCCATATTTCTTCTTTTGAGAAGTGTCTGTTTAATTCCTTTGCATATTTATCAATTTGGTTGGGTTTGTTGTTTTTTGGGGGGTTTTTTGGGGGTTTTTTGATGTTAAGTTTTTTGAGTTCTTTGCATATCCTGGATATTAATGCCTTAGGGAACAGGTGGCAAAGATTTTTCTCCCATTCTGGAGGCTGTCTGTTCATACTTTTAATTATTCCTTTGCTGTGCAGAAGCTTTTTAATTTGATGCCATCCCATTTATTGATTTTTTTTTTAATTTTACTTCTTGTGCTTTAGTCGTCTTGTTAAGAAAGTTGATTCCTGAGTTGACTTGTTGGAGTGTTGGGACTACATTTTCTTCTAGCAGTTGTAGGGTTTCTGGTCTAATTCCTAGGTCTTTGGTCCACTTTGAGTTGATTTATGTACAGAGTGAGAGATAGGAGTTAAATTTCATTCTACTACATATGAATTTCCAGTTTTCCCAGCACCATTTGTTTAAAAGGCTATCTTTTCTCCAATGTATATTTTAGGCACCTTTGTCTAATATCAGATAACTGTGTTTATGGGGCATTTTCTGTCTTCTATTTCATTCCATTGATCTTCCTGCCAGTTTTGGTGCCAATACCATGCTGTTTTAACTTTGCACAATCTTTCTTATTGTCTAACCATAGGATTTTCTTTTGTTTTATTTAATTAATAGACTTTTTTTGATTCACAGAATAATGACTGGCCTGGATACAGTAGTTCTGTTAAATCTATATTGCTAACCTTCTTCATAACCTTCCTGTTATTTGAACATCCGACTCTGCTCAGCCTCAAACACATCTGTCATGCTTATACTGCTTGCTACATACATTTTATCCCTGTATTCTCCACTGTATTTCCAGGAACCCCTGAGACTCTTATCAACCGTTACATCCTTTTTACCAAAAGCTTCCTCCTTCAGCTCCTTGGGGGGGGATGGAGGAATCGGTTGTTCCAAGTTTTCTTGTGGCCTCTTGGTTTTCTGTACTGGGAGAGGTAGCTCTGAGGGTGGAGTTAGCTGGGAAAACAAAGGGGAGAAAAGAAGGGAAAAAACAGGAACTATTTCCAATGAGGTCATAGGCCAGGACCCAACTAATTCCACGAAGCAATTGATCCGCCACCTGCACACCCAGGACAGCCTGTACTCTGGCTTTGCCTGCTCTGGGGACTAGGCATTGTTTGATATGATGAATTCTCATGATGCCTGGTGGAAGATGAGCCCTCCCCCACCTCCTGTCACCACTGTCCCCACCAGGGCCCTGCCTCTTCACAGGGGTGGCTTGGGGGCCACAAGCAAGACTCCACAGTGAATTTAAAATGTTCAGACACACAGTACACCCTGAGGAAGTCCTTCTCATGGACTCACAGGAGGTCAGCTGTGAAGGAAAAGCTCAGCCTCTTCGTTTTGCACAGAAGTGAACGGAGGCCCCAGGGAAGGAAGGACGGCATTCACTGCCTCCCGGAGACTTAGTGGCAGTGATGAGCCTGGAGTCCAGAGGTCTGATTCCCAGACTGCTCCATCTCCAACTGTCCTGCTGTGATTTCTGGAGCCACTCCTCTCTCTCTCCCTCACCCTGGCCCTTTAAGCCTTCCTCTAGCCTACAGAGGTGAACAAACACTTGCGAAATATTTCTGGCATTCACCTGGGAAATCTTTCCTGTTTTTATTCTGGCTTCTTCTGCAGAACAGCTTTCCCAGTCAATGATGACGTGTTATTTGCTGGGGTGATTTTGTCTGATTCCAGGCTGGTTCCTCAGACCTTCGGGTTGGGAAACTACCTCATTGATTTCCCCCACCATTGATCCCTCCTGAAAATGTCGACTTATAGTAACCAAATCCTCAGAAAACCCATGTGAAAGACCAACTGTTCACTAATGTGTGTGAGAGCTGTAACTCTCCCCTTGGACTAGTTTGTGTTGGCCCAGCCAACTCGTCCCCTCCCAAAAGTGATCTATGTGAAAAGCCAAGCTGCCAAGCAGTCTCCTGGTGGGGGGGGGGGCGCTAAGAACATGGGAGCTGGCCACAGGACTCAAAGAGGATTCATTTGCCTTCCTTTAGCTGCTGACCAGCCCCTTCCTGAGGGATCCATCCTCACTTTAGCTGCACAAATGCACTCCATGGGTTGCTGTATTTCTGTTGGCCCTGGGAGCCATTTGTTTCTGTGGAAGAAACCTCACCTCTTGACATTCTGCCCATGATGTTTGGATTTCATAACTTAACTCCTTATGAGAAAATCTTATTTCCCATATGTCAAAGTCCTTTCTTGGAGCTTGTTCCCACGTAACTCAGTTGTTCAGACACTTATAAATCTACCTCTTCTATTATCTAACTTCTATTTATTTCTTTATAATGTCTATAAGAACATTCCAAGAGAACTTATGAAATGTCTTACAAATTCATATTATGGCTCTATTCAAAAGTCATCAGTGCAATTGATCATTTTGGCAACAAGATGATGGGTCACATTATATCTCTCCACTTTTGTTTATGTTTGAGATTTCCCCCCACCCCTTAAAACTAGGGATAAAACTGCTGTGGCTTCTCAGTACCCCACAAAGCCTGAACTTCTTAAATTGAATTGAGCCCTTCCTCAAACATGTCTAAAAACCCTTTTCCTGTATGACTTCCCTCTACTCCCTACAAACACCACCCCTACCCCAGTCCCTACATCACTCTTACCCTCAGTATTTACTGCCTGAACCTACCCCAGGGCCCATCACTCTGGGTATGAGGCATCTTTCTGTGTGATCTTTTCTCTGCATACATTTTTAGCTCTTTGCAGTTCAGGGAGTGTTTTCTCATTCATGCTGGGAACAGACCAATCCTCTGTGGCTGTGGTGAGGATAGATTAGAGACTGAATCACCCATCCCATTGCCATCAGAAGTTGTCTGCCATTTGGGATATGGAGCATGTGGTCTTCACTCTGCTGTTCACCTGGCAGCATCATGCACCTAGGAAATAGGCGAGAGAAATTTAACTGAGTGATTCTTTTATATAATTCATGATACTACCAGCTGTGTAGCACTATATGAGTCACAGGGCCTTAAACTTGAGTGTATTGAAAGGATTGTACCATACCCGTGGTGTTGCATTAGCATTGGCTAGCACTATGCAGAATGCAGATGCCAGGCCCCTGCCCCAGGGAGCCTGACCAAGCTCAGGCATCTGCCTCTGAAGAAGCTCCCTCGTGACTCTGATGCAGGTGGTCTGCAGGCCATACTGTAAGGCAACACTGGCCCCAAGGCCCCACGAGGCCTGTTTTGCTACCATTCTCTGGCCACTCATTGCAAAATCAGATACCAGCCTTTCCCCCAGTGAGGACCTCACACTTGCAGACCCTCCCTGGACTCAACCTGCCCTTGTTTTCTCCTTGTTTCCCTAAGTGTGTGGCTGTGGCCTAGCCCAGACGGGCTTCTTCTTCAAGAACCAGGAGTACATCTGCACCCAGGACTACCAGCAACTCTATGGCACCCGCTGTGACAGCTGCCGGGACTTCATCACAGGAGAGGTCATCTCCGCCCTGGGCCGCACCTACCACCCCAAGTGCTTCGTGTGCAGCTTGTGCAGGTCAGCAGGTGGCCAGCAGGGCCTGGGCCCTCAGGGTGAGCCCGAGGGAAGGGAAGACATGGCCATTCCCAAGCAGTTCTGGGGCTTACTGGGCTTATGCTAGACACCTGACCTCAAGGACTGCAAGGACAAAAGGATCTGAAGGGCCAGTGGTATTCAAACCTTTTAACAGCTGAATCCTTCCCTTCACGTGCAGTCTGATGTAAAACACTAGTTCATCCTATGATGGAGGCAGAGTGAGGATACTCTGCCCCATACTCAGTTTCCCATTTCTATCAAAAGCCCCACCTACACCCAAAAAAAACCACTAAGTACCCTGGTCCCTTGGGATACAGTTTGGAAACACAAATCTGGCTCAGGCTCCTGTGACTTAATCCACAGGTGGTACAAGGATGTCTGTTTATAGCCTTCTTCCACCACCACAGTACCATCTCCTGCTGGCAGGGGTGACCCTAGTAAGGGACCCCACCTCTGTACATTTCAGTTTCTATATCAATAATAAGGGCTCAAAACCACAGCAATGTCATTGGGTTTTTGTGAATATCAGTGAGATGCTGAATGCAAAGACCTTAGCTCAGTAACTGGTGCATAGTGTGTCTGTTATTATTCTTCTCATTGTCATGATAACCATCTAGCCTCTCTCAAGACCTCTCCAAAGTTGGAGAGCACCTCCCTGCCCCCTTCTCCACCCCAGCATCTCAATCACTTGTTAATCTAGCAAATGTACATTAAGAGCCTACTGTATGCCAAGCACCACATTAAGGAGATGGAAAAAAATAAAGAAAAACCTCAATCCTGCCCACAAATACATTAAAATTTAATGGGCATCTCTGATTAAGTAATAAGTAAAGCCTGATTGAAGTATATCTGCATTTTTAGTTAGGAAAAGAATTTATAGATTGATTATTATTCTCAAAAAAAAAAATAGCCACTGGTTAGTTACCAGCTAGAGGAACTAACCAATTGGAGTTTCTGATTGAGATTAATGGGAGACTATGGAAGAAAATATAATCAGTCAATTAAATTCATTCATTCATCTATCTCTTAGGACCTGAGCCCTGGGTTCTAGGATTCCAGACCCATCAGAGGTCAGCATAGAGGGTCCATATGGCACAAGGCGAGGTTTAATACTGTGTCTTTCTACCATGAGTTAGTGGCTGGGCCACAGTGAGAGCATGGCTCCCCAGCCTCCTGCCCAGCATCCCCTGCATTGTCCCACACTGCAAATACAAGGACAGGGGAACTTCTGGAAGCCTTTGCCAGGGTTTATGCTTACAGATCCTAGGACAGGTGTTCCAAACTGCAGGAGAAACAAGAAGAGCCAAGCAAGGCAACTGACAGTGTAGGAATCCTGTATATGGCTGATAATTTAGCTGGGGAGGCAGGATCTATATGAGCTTGAGTCTGGGCTGAGCAAACTGAGCAAATACAGAGTAGGAGGGGAAAGGGTTATTTGGGGACTTATAAACTCCCCATTGGGGTAGAGGATTTTCAGAAATGTCTGGATAGTGAAAGGAAGAAATTTTAGTAAGTTCAGAAATTGAATTATTTTGTTTTCATATGGGGACGGTCAAGTGGTGATGGAAAAATATCCTTCCAGGAAGAAGAACCACTCCATGAGGAGTTAGTAGCCTCTTCCTCTTAAAATTGAGACATGTAAGCCCAGATAAGCATCATGATTTGTCCAGTGTCAAATCATATGAATGGCTCTTGGGGACCTCCAGTTCTGACCTCCAGGACTCTCATTGAGTGGTTTAGTCAGCCTGTCACTGTGAACAGCATTTGAATTTGCCTGGTGCTCTAGAAAGGCAAGCTGCATGTGTTCATGCATTGCTGTGAGCATGTGTGTTATCAGGTCATCAATAGTCGCAGAATCTCAGGAGAGGAAGCATTGACTTTCTTCCTTATCTCCCTTGCAGGAAGCCATTCCCCATTGGAGACAAGGTGACCTTCAGTGGTAAAGAATGTGTGTGCCAGACCTGCTCCCAGTCTATGACCAGCAGTAAGCCCATCAAGATCCGTGGACCAAGCCGTGAGTCCTCCCCACCGGGCACCTCCTCTTCAGGGGTGCACCTCCATAGGTTCCTCAGTTCAGTCACTGTCCACCACTCCCACAGGCCTAAAAGGAAGCAGGGGAGGTTCCCACCCTGGAAATTCCTAAGTGTGACCCAGTTGGCAGAGAGCCCAGACAGACACACAGCTCTACGAACATACTGCAGGGAAGACGGGCTGCCCAACTGGAAACTCTGATGGCCAGTGTACTTCATCAGTCGCTTGGGTGGCTCTCTTCTGGGACAAGATAGGTACCTGCTCTTATGTCCCAATGACACCGCGACAGGGTTGATCAAGTCTTGTCACCAGTGGTCTTCAATTATTACAAACTCCACAAAGAAAATATTTTCAGACATGTCTCACAGAGGAAGTAGGGAAGCACCTGGGAGCAAACAAGAGATCGGGCTAGTGCTTTGGACAGAATGTTCCATGGACCCCTGCATCAGCTTCACTGTGAAACCTGTGAAAATGCAAATTTCTGGGCTCACTTTGGACCTCTAGGGATGGACTGTAAGAGTCAACTCTCTTAGTAGCTTCCTGTGTGAGTCATTTGCTAGTCCTAAAATTGGGAACCATTATGTAGGGATGAGGGGCAGCTGATGTGCCATATTATGTTTTATCACCAAACCACAGGTTCGGGGGATAGTGAGGATCAAGAGTGTATCTTGGAGCATTCATCTTCCTGGTGGAAGTCCATCCTACTCAAGTGTGCCTAGCAACAAGATGTCTAAATTACTGTTCCCAGATGCCCTTGTCAGACTGCTGACTTCTTGCGCCTGCACACACATAGATCAGCCCCCTGGGTCTCCGTCAGCCACATTAGGCTCCAATGTGCTTTCATGTTATATGACACTGGCTGGCCTCATGGAGAGAATCAATGAAAACCCATTAGCCTCTTGGGCTGTATCATGGTGCAGGTACAGGGGCTGCCAGACATGGCCCAGCAGAGTCAGCATGTGGGGGCTGCATCCCATCTAGGAGGATGAGCAGAGAACACCTCAAGTCAGCAGGGTTCAGTTCCCAGGGGCTCCATTAGAGTCTGCCCAGCCGTGGTCAACCAAGAGGAGGGTAGAGAAAGGCTCCCTCCCTTGCTTTCCCTTCCCTTCAGTCAACTGGAACGTGTTCCCAGAATGTGCAGCAGCCTTCCTTCAGTGTCCTTGGCAATGCCCAAGAACAGTTTGCCGTTCTAACTAAGTTTCCATCTCAAGGTGGCTGAGTGTACATGCTGTTATCCTTCGTAACTCCTTGGAAACATCATCCAGAAACAGTCAGAGGCTAGGATTGCAAGTCTATGGCCTGTGACTGATGCCACTGAGAACCCTAGAGGCCAGTGGGACCAACATGCAAAGCAGTAGAGAGCAGGGCAAGCTTGAGTCAGGAGCCTGCCAACCTTCTGCATGATGCAAAATCAGTCACGTCGACTTCCTGAGACTCAGTTTACCCAGCTCTGAAAGAGGGATGGAATTTCTTATCATCCTCTCAGGATTGTTGTAGAAAGTGAATATATTAGAATGTAAGAATTGAGCTAACATACAACATACACTGTAGCGTGTAAAATATAAAGTGAGCACACCAAAGGAGCACTGAGATTAAGATTCCTGTTATTTCTCTCAGGTTGTGCTAATGTTTCTGTGTGCTGGGATCTGGCCAGAGGGAGATTTCCTCAGCCAAATGTGGAGTCTCACATGTGAACTCTTCTCAAAGAGAGATTCCTAAATGTCTCTACCATAATTTTGCAGAGTAGGAGGTAGAGAAATGTGAGGGAAAGTGAGTTTGTGGACAGTTTTCAGGAGGAGCTTTTAGGATTGTAGTTTCTGTCATTATTCATCACACACACACACATCAATCCATGGATCCACATATATTTCGTAGAAGGATTTTCTCCTAGGTGGTCACTGTTAATGCTGCAAATGCCAGTGGGGCTGACTAGAGGGCATGCTGGAAGTCCTCCTGAGTTCCCAAAGAAGAGAGGAGAGCCAAGAGATCAGCCAGGTCTGAGAGATTGCCAAGAAGAACATATCATGGAAAAGGAAAAAGAACCTGTTTTCTGTTGTTTTTTTTCCTTAAGCTACAGCAGTGTGGAGTTTTTATCTTTGGAGGGTAAATAGAGATATTCTTGAAAAACAGGAGCAGTGTTTGCTCAAAAAAGATCAAGAAGAATACTCAGGAACTGTCAAGAAGAAAGAATCATGTTACTTACCAGAGGAAAAAGAAACGTCTCCTCAGATCTCACAGAGAAGAATCAGCAGCAGTTACAGCATCAGCATCACCACCATCACCACCATCATTACCACCATCACTACTGCCATCACTTAATACCACCACCATCACCACTACTCCACCATCACTAACACCATCACTTAACACCACTACTACCATTACCACCGCCATCACTTAACACCACCACCATCACCACCATCACTACCATCACCACCACCATCACCATCACTACCATCATCACCACCATCACCACCATCACTACTATCACCACCACCATCACTTAATACCACACCATCACCACCACTACCATCACCACCACCATCATTTAACACCACCACCATCACCACCACCATCACTTAACACCACCACTACTACCGTTATCACCATCACCACCATCACTACCATCATCACCATAACTAACATTAGCATCAGTGTCACCTTTGTTACTGCCACCACCACCATCACATCATTATCACCATCACTAGTATCACATCACCATCACTGCTTATCACTACCAACTCCCCCATCACTATCAATGCCAGTATCACTATCAGCATTGATTATTACCATTGTCGGGCAACTGCACTAAATATGCTACACAAAAATTTTATTTAATCACTACAGATTCAAAGGATCTAAATGGTTTCTCCAAAGTGACACAGATAACAAGACAAGAGACTAAGCAGCCTGATTCTGGAGATATTCTGCTAACACCCTATACCAGAAACATGACTTACTAATTGGAAGGGTTATATCTTCCTGGATTAGTTACCTAGAACAAAGTGGGTAGCTTGCTGTGACTCATAAAACCCACTTATTTTTGCTGATCTAAGTGGAATGAATGACATAGTAAACTAAACTTAAAATGGTGGCCAAAAGTCTTTAGAGGCTGCAGTAATAAACTGAGGGACTTGGAAGGAACAGGTGGAGGCATCAGACTTTCTGCCAGCTAATGATTGTAATTTTGGAATGGAGAGGAACTTGTGAGGAGTGGACAGCTGGCTCTGCAGAAACCACCTCAGTATAGGGTGTGGTTCTCACGACTGCTTATGACACCAGATCCATGGGCTCCCAGATGGGGTGTCTGAAGCTCCACCAGTAGTGAAGAAGGAAAGGAGGAAGAAGGAGGAGAAAATCATCAGATAAATATGAAACCAGTACAATGGAGGACCAGCAATGAATCATGAAAAGAAACACATAGAAGGCATCCCAGAACTAAGCAGAGCTTCACTGCAGAGGATCGTTGCCTGTAGCCTCAGATCAGAGATCAAGCATCACTTGGGATGTGGGTTAAAAACAGGAGAGTGTGAAATAATACAATAACCATTTATGGATACATAATGCTACTTCTACCTGCTGATCAAAAGGAAGGAATTCAGATGAGGGAACCAGGGCTCAGAGGTCAAACGACTAGATGGTTCTCACCTAGGCCAGCTTCTCACTCATTCAACCTCTCTTTGAAGTGTTAACCACTGCACTGTACTGGCTCCTAAATTTTAGCTCAAGATGCTAGATTCATGTCAGATTTTCATTTTAATGCAGCAGATGGGACTCATCACTGGAAGGTGGCCATGGAACAATGCAGCCATTAAATAAGTTTTATTGACAAAGTGGAGGACTGTTTTGTTGGCCAGTAGCCTCTGGCCTCCACAAGTGAACTGGACCAGTGATGACCACAGCAAGTGAAGCACAAGAAAGAGTAACAAGGAGCCTTACTTGTCTTTATTTGAAGGAAATGTCATGTGAGGAAAAGATGATTATTCTCATTTGCATAAGAGTGGGGGAATCATTGGAGGGTGGCATCAGCTCCACATAAAGATGGAATCCATGGCAGTCATACCTGTCCAAACAGAGTGGCCTTCTTCCAGAAGGGCTGAATGGCTTACCCCAGACGTGACTAAGTGGAGGAGGGGGGAGGCACTTTCAATCATGTGACAAGTTCCTGCACTGGTTGGGATATTTGACTAAATGCTCTGTGAACTTAAAGCCCCTGTAGTAGTATTAAACCCTACTGGGGAGTCTCACAGAGACAAAAACGTTCGGTCTCTATGGCCTAGAAAGCTTGACCAGAGGCCTGCAGTGTGTACATTGAGGTTGACACCAACACTTCATCGGGACTAGCCCCTCCTCACAGCCAGCTAGACACAGGGTCACTTCATCTTCTCTCCCAGGACAGGCTCCCAGCAGGATTGAGGACTGTCCAGCCAGGCTCCCCCAACTCTACATGTGACCCCTTTTTCCTCACTGCTACAAAGTGCGCATTTGCCGTGTGGCGCCAACAGGACGGTTTGCCCTCTGGTAAACTTTGCCCTGTGACCCTGTCCTCCTCTGAAGCGGGCCATCCGGTCAGCTAGGCCTGAATTCCCAGCATCTCCCAAGTACCTTGGCCGCTGGCTCCATTTCCTGCCCCTCCCCTCCTCAGACATTCATTGAGCAACAAGCAGACCGCTGGGCCTGCCCCACATTCTGCTGGCCCCAACACACATTCCAGAGTGATAGTGACAGGGAGTGAGGGGACAGTTCTGGTTTGGGACAGAAGATTCATCAGACTCTAATCTTTGCTTCTTGGGAGGCAAATGTTTGCTGTATAAGCACATTGGGGAAGGGAGGGGTGGTGTGGTGACTTCTGTCCTTTGCTGAGCACTGTAAGGGCCACCTGTTCATACTCCTTCAGCAGACAGGCTTGGAGTTCCTACCATGCTCTGAGCACCATGCCAGGCTAAGGAAGGGATTCAACCTCAAAACACAGACGTGGCCCTTGCCACTGAGTGTACAGGCAGGAGAGAGAAAAAGAAAGCAGACTATCCCCAGGAGGGGTGCCTCTCAAACTTCACGGGGCTCAGAGATCTTGCTGAAATCCCCAGGTCTGGGTGGGGCTTGCCATGCCACATGCTGCAAGTTCCAAGAAAATAGGGATGCTGTAGGTGCCAAGATCATGGAGTGATGCACAACCTCAGTTACCAACCAGAGGAGGGAAGAAGCAGCACAGGACCACTGTGGATGAACCACAGAACACAATGATAAGCAGGAAGGTCTTTTTCTCCCCTCCGCCAAGTCCCCTGTGGACAGGCCAGGTCTCCAGGGGCCTTTTCTCTTCCCTAGTAGGGTCTCTGGGAAGCTGCCAATGCCAAGGTGGGAAAACATGTTGTGGGTGGGGAGTCC